GAGACAAAAAAGTGAGAAATCACACTGTCCCCCAACCCCCAGGGATGGCCACACTGCGGTCCTATCTCCTCCACTCTCCTGTTGGAATCTTGAGTATGCCTGCACACACACTCAGTGTGAGTTTGCAGTTGGCCATGTGGGAGTCCAGTGACATAACCATTACGCCATCTGCTGATCCTGTTACTATTTATTTTTAAATGTTCTTTTTGTTACACTGGAAAGGAAAGATGATGCTCAGTTTTAAATGTTAAAAGTATTGGGACCAACAGATAACATAATGGTTATATCACTGGACTCCCTACACAATTGACCACAGTTCAAGTCCAGGACCCAGTGGCTTAAAACCCACATTGGGTGCATGTGTGTGTACCCAAAATCCTGAGAGGATAATGGAGGAGAAGAAATTGTGCCATGGCCATTCCCCCTGGGGGGTGGTTTCTCACTTTCTGTCTCTCTGTCTCTACAGTGAGCACGTGTGCCTTATAGCAAAAATGTCTCTTTAAAAAAAAGTAGGGACCAGCAGTTGGTATAATGGCTGTGTCATTGGACTCCCATGTAGTCGACCGCAGTTCAAGTCCTGGACCCAGTGGCTTGAACTCATGCCGGGAGCATGCATGTATGTGCCCAGGATCCCGAGAGGAGACTGGAGGAGAAGGGATTGCAACACGGCCATTCCCCCCTGGGGGGTGATTTCTCACTTTCTGTCTCTCTGTCTTTCTGGTGAGTACACATACCCTAAAGCAAAAACCTCTCCAAAAAAATTTTTTAAAAAGCATTTAAGTTCTTTTGTTACAAGGAAACTAAATTTGTACACATACAAAAAAACTTCTGTGTGGTAAAGACTAAACATTATAGAATGGTAAATATTTGCAAATCATGTATCTATAAAAGGGGTAAAAGCCATAATATATAAAAAAATTCCTACAACTCAACAAGAAAAAAATAATCCAATTCAAAAGGACTTCAATACACATTTCTTCAAAGACGGTATACAAATTGCTATCAAACACATGAAAAGATGCTCAGCATCACTAGTTATTAGGGAAATGCAAATCAAAACCACTGTGAGATACCATTTCATACTCATTAGGAAGGCTATTATCAAGAAAAGGAAAACAAGTGGAGAAACACAAACTTTAATATATTGCTAGTGAGAAAGTGAAATGGTGCAGCTGCTGTGGAAAAAAGTTTTGTGATTCTTCAAAAAGTTAACTATAAGGCCACCTTTTGGCCGGAACCGCCATCTTCCAGTAATTAACCAA